GAAGAGTCTGAGGGACCTGTGGGGAAATAACAAAAGATCTAACATTCATGCATTTGAAGTCGCAAAAGAAGAGGAGAAAGAAGGTGGAGCTGAAAAAATAGATGAAGAAATAATGGCTGAAAACGTCCCCAAATTGGCAGAAGATATAAACCTAGATTCAAGAAGCTGATCAAACTCCAAACAGCATAAACCAAAAGAAATCCATGCCCATGCACATCATAATCAAACTTTGGGAATAAAGACAAAGAAAAATCTTGACAGCAACTGGAAAAGAGATGACTGATCACCTACAGGGGAGCAACTATTTGAATGAGAGCAGATTTCTCACCAGAAACCATGGAGGCCAGAAGAAAGTAGCACATTTTTCAAGTGCAGAAAGAAAAGTACTGTCAAACCAGAATTCTGTATCAAGTGAAAATATCCTTCAGGAATGAAGGTGAAACCAAGACATTCTCAAATGAAGGAAAACTAAGAGAACTGATCACCAGCAGACTTACCCTAAAAGAATGGCTAAAGGAAGTTCTTTAAACAGAAAGGAAATGAACAAAAGGAATGTTGGGACATCAGGAATAAGGGAAGAATAAGAATAAAAATATGAGTAAATATAATAAACTATCCGTCTCTTGAGTTTTATAAATGTTTGTTGGTTGAAGCAAAAATTATAACATTGTCTAGTACAGTTCTCAAAGTATGTAGAGAGAATATTTAAGACAATTATACTATAAAGGTGGGGAGGGGTGGATAAATGAACCTAGACGGTGGTAAGGTTTCTTTCCTTTTCTTTTTTCTTTTTAAATAGACTCCATGCCCAACATGAGGCTTGAATGCATGACCCTGAGATCAAGAGTCACAGGCTCTACTGACTGAGCCAGCCAGGTGCCCCAGTGGTTAAGGTTTCTGTATTTCACTTGAAGTGATAAAATGTAGAGAGCATATTAAAAAAAGTCCTCCTTTTTAAAGGTTGCTTCCCAAGAGCAACCACTAAAAATCTACACAAAGATACACACTCAAAACCACTACAGAAAAGTCAACATGGAATTCAAAAAAAATGTTCAAGTAATCCACAGGAAGACAGAAAATAAAACAGAGAAACCAAAAAACAGAGAGAACAAATAGAAAACAAACAACAAAATGGCAGACAAAAACTAAATCATACCCAAAGTTACATTAACTATAAGTGGCTTAAATAGTCCAATTAAAAGATACTGAAAGAGTGGATTAAAAAATGACTCAACTCGGGGCACCCAGGTGGCTCAGGGGGTTGAGCGTCCAACTCTTGATTTCTGCTCAAGTCATGAGCTCAGGGTCGTGGGATGAAGCCCTGCATCGGGCTTGGCGCTCAGCAGGGAGTCTGCTTGAGATTCTCTCCCCCTCTTCCTCAGCCCCGCCCCTCACTCGTGTTCTCTCTCTAAGTAACAAATCTTTTTAAAAAAATGACCCAATTTTACATCATCTATAAGAAACTCACTTCAAATATAATCATACATATGTTAAAAGTGAAAGGATGGAAAAATATACAATATTAACATGAGTCAAAAGAAAGCCACTAACTATATTAATATTAGATAGTGCAGACTCCACAGCAAACAAAATCATCAAAGACAAAGAGGGACATTAAATGATGCTAAATTCACCAAGATATAGCAGTCCTAAATATGTAAGCACCTAACAATAGAGCTTCAAAATACATAAAGCAAAACTGACAGAACGGAGAGGAGAAATACACAAATCCATAATTACAGTTGGAGACTTCTACAGCCCTCTCTAAACTACTGATAAAACTATTAGGCAGAATATCCGTGAGGATACAGAAGAACAATGTCAACCAGTAGGACCCAACAACAGCACAATACACAGTCTTTGCAAGTACCATAGAATGAAACATTTACCAAGAAGAAACCATATCCTTAGCCATAAAACAAACTTTGACAAATGTAAAATAAGTGAAATCGTAGAAATAATGTTCCCCATCAAAACTGGATTCAAACTAGAATCAATAACAGAAAGATAGCAGGAAAGTCTCCAAGTGCTTGGAAACTAAACAACATACTTCTAAATAAGCCATGGGTCAAAGAGGAAGTCTTAAGAAAAATAAAAAATACACTGAACTGGATAAAAATGAAAACAAACATATCAAAATTAATAGGATGCAGCTAAAGAAGTGTTTAAAGGGAAATTTATAGGGGTGCTTGGGTGGCTCAGTTGGTTAAGCATCTGCCTTCAGGTTGGGTCATGATCTCGGGGTCCTGGGACTGAGCCCCGCATCAAGCTCCCTGCTCAGCAGGGAGCCTGCTTGTCCCTCTCCCTCTGCCCCTCCCTCCTGCTTGCATTCACTCTCTCTTTCTCAAATAAATAAAATCTTTAAAAAAATTAAAGGGAAATTTATAAAACTAAAATTCTTACATTAGAAGAGGAAAAAAAAAAAAGGAGGAAAAGTCTCAAACAGCCGAAGCACCCACTTCAAGAATCTAGAAAAAGAGCAAAGTAAACCCAAAGCAAGAAGAAAATAATAAAACTAAGAACAGAAATCAGTGGAATTGAAGAGAAAAATATGAGATGATTTCACTGATTTATGAAACAATTTGAGCAACACAATAAATTATGTAGTATTGGATTATAGCCTCAAGTATAAAATAAATGTACATGAGTCCATAATGACATTAAGGAAGCACCCAAGGAGATTATTATAATTGCTTAATTTTGGGAAACAATCAGATTGTCTAATACGAAGCTCTTGGCACATAGAATTTCAATAAATGGTAGCTATGAGAGGTAGCTGTGATAATGTCCATGTTATAATGACAAAACAAATTATTTCAGAGAGATGAAATAAGCCAGCAAGGCAAAACATGGAATCATTCTCTTCTAATGCCAAAGCTAGTTTTGTTCTACAATATCAGGTTCTCTCTTTTATAACAGAATGTGAAATATAAAGTAAAAAATTTGCTTCCAGTAGCCCAGGTCCCCTATCCCTTGCAACAAAAGACTGCTATTCTCACTGAACTGGAGGCATCAGGACTTAAGACCCAAAGCTACTGAGTCACTTTATGTTCTAGGACTGGCTGTCCTAAATGGAAAAGTAGCAAAGTTTCTTTCTCACCATTCTATAGTCAAAGCCTCCTCTGGATAGATGGGAAATTTGCTCTGTTCCTGTTTATGTGCATTTTATTCCCTAAGTATTTCTGCTTGAAACAGACACATATAAACACACTCTGATATTTTACTGTGCCCAGAAAGATCTTAAGCAAAAGATGGAAATGAAAAGTGACCAGATGGAAATGAAAAGTGACCTCTGAGAAAGAGAGAGAGAAATGCTCTCTCTGGATGACACCCTAAAGCAACACACTCCCTGCCCCACCTTGTGTGAGGGTAGGTGGAACCTGTGACTTGCTTCTAACCAATAGAACATGTCAAATGTGAAGGAATGTCACTTCCTTGGTTAGGTTATGTAATTTGGCAAATGTGATAGGATGTCACTCCCATGATTGTGTTATACTACATAAGACTCAGTCTTGGGGCAGCTGGGTGGCTCAGTCATTGGGCGTCTGCCTTTGGCTCAGGTCATGGTCCCAGGGTCCCGGGATCAGGCCCCGCATCGGGCTCCCTGCTCGGCGGGAGGCCTGCTTCTCCCTCTCCCATTCCCCGTTTGTGTTCCCTCTCTCTCTCTGTCTCTCTCTGTCAAATAAATAAATAAAATCTTAAAAAAAAAAAAAGACTCAGTCTTAGCAGACTGGAACAAAAGATTCGCCCCTTGTTGACTTTGAAAAAGTAAGCTGCCATGTTTTGAGAGGACGTATGGAGAAGGCCATATGGCAAAAAACCAGGAGCAGTCTCTACGAGCAGAGGGTAGTCTTCCACCAAAAGCCAACAAAAACCCGGGATCTCAGTCCTCTGGCTGCAAGGAGATGAATTCTGCCAACAACCTGAAAGAGCGTGGAAGTGAATTCTTCCCTAGTAGAAACTCCAGAACACAGCCCAGTCAGCACACTGATTGCAGCCTTGAAAGACGTGGAACAGAGAACCTAGGGATGCTGTGCCCAGACTCGTGACTCACGGAAACTGAGATAATAAATGTTTGCTGCTTTAAGCCACTAGTTTTGTGATCGTTTGTAATGTAGCAATAGTTAACTAATACACTCCTTTTCCTTTGCAGCTAAAGAAGTCTACTCATATAAGTGAAGACACACAATGTCAGTTTCTCATCATTTAATTATCATAGAGGAAAGTCTATAGGATCCGCAAAACCATTACCAAGTCCAAGTGCAACCCCGGCATTTTGCTGCCCTTGGGGTAGAAGATGACCAGCCTCAGGGCACCTGGGTAGCTTAGTTGGCTAAACGTCTGCCTTCAGCTCAGGTCATGATCCCAGAGTCCTGGGACTGAGCCCTGAGTCAGGATCCCTGCTCAGCAGGGACTCTGCTTCTCCCTCTCCCACTCTCATGTACTCTCTCATGCTCTCTCTCTCTCTCAAATAAATAAAATCTTATTTTAAAAAAGAGGATGACCAGCCTCACAAGGAATGATTTATTTTCTTTGGGCTGGCAGTGCTCTGAAGTCTATAAAGACCCCTCAAAGCCCATAGCTCAGATCTTCAACCTATCTTTCTCCTCCTCTCCATCCATAATCTTCCCATCAATCCCTACTTGCACTACCTTTCACCTGCCAACTTAGCTCTTTCCAATCAAGGCCAGATCTCTGGGTCCTTCCCAATTCCCCAAGTCTGGCTCCCTTTGACTTCTTGGCTAGGGGAGGCCTTATATTCTAAAGCCAGGCACCTAAATGTCATCACCAAAATGAAATCGGTGTGATGATTACTGTTTTCCCAAAGGGATAAGAAAACGGAATCTTTCTTAAAAACCAAAAAAGATTCATAAGAAAACAAGTCTATCCCTTGGCACATAGTTTAATCCTCACATCTCTAAGATTTGGCCATTGTAAGTATGTAGGCAGAAGGCAGCTATCTATTTTTTTCAGTCTAAAAATTAAATATCTGATCTCACCTCAGCAGGCTTCTTGTGTTCATTTGGAATTCTTGACTTGCTCCTATACATTGAGCCAGAAGTAAAGGAAGTGGAAGGACCTGCAAAAGATAATTAGACAAAAAATATTGAGACCTGCTAATATTACTAAATGTCACATAACTAAATGTCATCCAAGAGAATATGAAAGGTATGATGGAGAAGAGCACAGTGATCTCATACCACTGAAGAAAACAGTTAAATCGCAATCAAGAAAGACTCATAATGGTGTTTAACGACGTTTATAGATGACCTCCCAGCGTGTAAAAGCTTCAACAGTGCTAATGCTGAGGAGGTTTGATTTGGTGTAATCATACTTCACAACATTTTGGAAAAACATGATTCACATTCCACCTGGAGAAAAAGTACCTGTAAAAGCAACTGGAAAAACTAAAAATGTGAGGCAAGTAATCTGTGTATCCTTCAGCCCTCCCCCAAATGCTACAAATGATGCTTCATCCAGTCAAACATTTAATACCTAGTTACAATTGGAATTGTAGGGCCTACAATTTATGCTCTCATACTTTTTGTCCTTTCTAGAAAAGTACTGTTAAATCATTATTAGATTTGGCTTTTGTTGTTCTGGTAAATGAAAAGTAAAGAACAAAATGCTATATGCCACAAAAAAGCCACAATTTTCCCACCTATTTCTAATGAAATTTAAATGAATAAGAAAAATAGTACCCTAAGCTTTCCTTCCTAGATACATTGTTTTTTAACCACTGAAAGAAACATGAAACAGCTTGTCTTCAAGTCAAAGAATAAACCCTCAAAGAGTATTAGATACAGAGTTACCAACGGTTGGCCGGTTCTACTCACTCTCGTCTGAACTGTCACTGCTGCTGACTGTTCTATGACGTTTCATCCTGGAGCATCCTGGGAAAGAGAACACTGAATAAAACAGTCAGCACACACACACACACCATTTCAAAGGCAGTCAACACTGCCCTATAGATCCTAAGAAGCAGCAGCAGGTAAATCACACAAATCAAATTATTTCTGCCAAAAATATTCTCAAATGACAGTGATGGGAGAAGGATACCATCAAATTCTCCAACACGGAGGGTAACAAAGACTGAGGAGGCCACATATGAGCCTTAGGAGGATGCCCAAGCAGCACTGGATCAATGGTCCAGAACTGGCTGCCTCAGATGGGGCCACATGTCCACTGTCCACCCAAACAAAAGTGGGTAGCCATGTAGCCATCACCAGCCAGGGAACCCCAGTAGGGGAGGAGCAGGAAAGGAAAAAGCATTTGCAAGGCAGAGCTGTCAAGGGCCAAGGTCAAAAGGCATGAGACATAGTTGGCTGAAGAAAGAACAAGTGAAGCATGTCCCACCTTTAAGAGCATAACCATACTGCTTTTCTGTCTGCCCTTTTTCCCTTTCTTTCTCCCTGCCCCATCCCCCAAACAACTAGCCTAATTTAAAATTTACACACACACACACACACACACCCCACAATAAAGTAATTTTTAAAGTAATTTTCACCAGTTTCACTGGTGACCTGAGCAGAAATCAAGAGTTGGACACGTAACCGACTGCGCCACCCAGGTGCCCCTATTTACTCCCCATTTTTGCCTATAGGGGCGCCTGGGTGGCTCAGTTGGTTAAATGTCTGACTCTTGGTTTCAGCTCAAGTCATGATCTCAGGGTCCTGAGACTGAGTCCCACATAGGGCTCTGCACTCAGTGCACAGTCTGCTTGGGATCCTTTCCCTCTTCCTCTTCCTCTCCCTCCCCCTCCCCCTCCTCACATGTGCCCTCTCTCAAATGAACAAATAAATACAATCTTAAAAAAAGAGTAATCATCAGCACTTAAAAAAAAAGAAAGCTCCTAATATTATGAAAGATGTATAATGGGTTTGACTAAAACTTAAAACTTAAGTGCCCTTCCTTGTGTATGTGTGGCCAATGGCAGATAAAAAAGAGGCACAACTTTTCTGGAAACACACCAGCACTAGAGTATAAGAAAAATGGAAGGCACTCCAAGTTACAAAGCAAGTACTGAAGAAATGAACTAGAAAAGACAGTGATACAATGAGTAACTGACAGTCTTCTATGTGCCACAGTATACAAAATGCTATTAGAGGCAATCATGATTCCACAAGGAATGAAGGTCAGAGCTACTGCCTTTGAGCCACTCAGAATCTACAAAGGAGATAGAAACCCTAGTACAAGGCCACTGTGAGCAATTACGGGGAAGAGAAACAAAACCGTGTTAAAAAGCTAATAGAGTTCCACTTCTGGCATGACAGTGTGAATGAAGAGCTTCACCAACCCACTCCCCAGTGAAACTGGTGAAAACTACTTTAAAAAGAAACAAAAAACTATTCATTTAGTCTCTAGAAATGGCTTTAAGGGCATACAGCAAATGAAGATGCATTTATTAAAGGAAATCTACTAAAACTCAGTAAAAAAGAATTTGTGGTATTTGGACCTCTCCCAGCACAGATTTCATACCAGACTGGTGCAGCCAAGAACACAGAGCTCCCTCTCCCCCAGCTCCCAGGTGTAAGGCTTTCCTCCTGGGAGGAGCAGGATGACAGCATTTTTCATCCTGCCCCAGCTACCTGTTGCTGAGGTTAAGTTCCAGACAAGAGTAGCTCAGAGGCTGGGCCTTCCTTCTTCCAGATGGCCCCCGCTCCTGGGATGGAGGCTATACCTTGGGTGTGGTGCCACCAAGAATACTGAGGCTCCAACTGCCCTGACTCCAGCTCATCGAGTGGGGGTTCTACATGAGGAGAGGCAAACCTAGGAGACCTGGGGCTACCACTCAGAGGGAAATACATCATTGTCCCCACCCTCTACACTAGAGCTGTGGCTCAGAGACTTTGCCCAGGGGGAGAAGTAGACCATAGAAGAGAGGGCTCAAATTCTCTCCCCATTGGGAGTTGACTTCATTTGCACCTGAGTGTGGAGAAGTTCGAGCCTAGGCCGGCTAGCATGCTGGAGAACCAGGGAAAGAGAGAGCTGGGAGGAACAATCCTGGGGTCAGAAAAAAATCTCAAATACTGATCTCAGGAACTATCCCTTTGAAGGAGCTCTAGTTTGATTGGATCAGTTTGTAGAACAATTTATGTCCCAGGGTATTAAAAACAACAGAGCAATCAGCCAGTTCAGCTTAACAGTGTGGTGTGGTGAGGGAAAAGTCAAAAAGAGCCCTGCCAAAACCAATGTCATACCAGGGTGACTGGGGCATACCAAAGGCTGCACCCCTAAGAAACAACATCAAGGGGCGCCTGGGTGGCTCAGTCGTTAAGCGTCTGCCTTCGGCTCAGGTCATGATCCCGGGGTCCTGGGATCGAGCCCCGCATCGGGCTCCCT